CTTCCCTCCCTCGTCCAAGTCACTGATGAAGACATTGAAGAGTATCGGTCCAAGGACCGAGCCCTGCGGGACCCCGCTGCCCACACCCTTCCAGGTGGAAACCGACCCCTCCACCACGACTCTCTGGGTACGACCCTCCAGCCAATTCGCCACCCACCGGACTGTGTAGTCATCCAAGTCACAGCCTCTTAACTTGTTCACCAGTATGGGGTGGGATACCGTATCGAAGGCCTTCCTGAAGTCTAAGTACACAACATCTAAGCTACATTCAAACCCCATGGGGAGAGACATTCCTCTCCCAGCATCGGTGCCAGCAGGGACACCCTGGCAGGCCTGGCCCAAGCCCTGTAGAGATCCCCCAGCCCAAGGTGGCTGCAGCCTCCTGAAAAGCCTCTCTCAGCACTAGGGCAGTCCCATCCCTGCCTCGCTCATGGCTCCAGCAGCATGGAAGATTCCTCGAGCCATGAGCCCACCCTGTTCCACTGCCAGGCATGGGCAGGGCTCCACCCCCGACACTGCTGGGGGCGAGGCCAGGATGGGGACCCCACTCCCTGCCCCGTGCACATGGGGGACAGACCCTGTACCCCACAGAGCAGCAATGGGGGACACCGAATTCACAGCTGTCACCAGTCTCGCTCGGGCGGCTCACGGTAGGGCAGCCCCAGCACGGCAAAGACATCCCTCTCAGTGGGGGTAGGCAGGGCAAAGCCAGGTGCCAGCTTGGTGCCCCCGGGGCCACGGACCACAGCCGTGCTGAGCGCGTGCTCTGACAGGCTCATGCCCTTGGTCTTGGCCAGTGCCCGCATGGAGCGGTTGAAGTGGGCCGAGCCGGTGAAGTAGAGGAGGGCACAGCCAAACTCGGCGTAGGGCACCACGATGATGTCCAGGCGCCGGTGGTGCCGACCCGGCCCAGGCAGCCGGCACACGCCCAAGTATTTCTTCTGACTGCCGTCCTCCTGGCTCACCAGGTCATCAGTGAGGAAGCCTGTGGGGGGAGTGGGGTCAGCAAAGGGCCACACGGCAGCCTCCACAGAGCTACCAGCTGCCCTGGCACCATGACACGGGCTGGCAGGGAGCTGCAGGGTCACATCCACCCCTGCCTGAGGCAGAATCAGCCCCGTCCAAACCAGCCCAGACAAACACCGTGTGCAACCTCAGAGCCACACGACAGCCCCAGGCATCACCCCCGCCCCCATGAAAGCAGGGGGGCCACGGCCACCAATGTCCTGCTGCTGCCGGGGCGGGAGGGAGGGGGGGGCCATGGGTGCTGCAGAGAGCCCAGGGCAGGCCATGCCATGCCCCCGCTGCAGAGGAAGGCAAAACCCCCAGTCCACACCAGTCTGAGCAGGGGGGAAATCCCTTCCTGCCCCAGTGCTGTGTTGGGCTGAGCCTGAGCGCAGGGGAAGACCCTCCAGCCAGGAGGGCACAGCCCAGCCCCACCCCCAGCCTGGGCCGCAGCCAGCACCCATGCCCTCTGGGAGAGGCTTAAAAAGCCCCTGGCAGGTGCCCGGAGCATCCCAATGCACCAGGCCATGACCAGAGGCACCAACAGTCACATGCATGTCAGACATGGCAGCAGCAACCACAGGGTCTGACACTGCCACCCCCAGGATCCCCTGCCAACAGGGAAAGGCTCCCAGCTGTACCCTTAAGCCAAACCATGGGACCTAGAGAGGTGGCTCCTGCTCTCTTTCTCCCCGGTGGTGGGTTATCTCTGGCCTCAGCCAGGAGCCAAGTGCCTTCCCAGTGTGGGTGCTCACGTACCGCTGCGCCGGAGGCTGTTGAGCAGCTTGGCGAAGATGCCACGATGAGAGTGCCCGTCGGGGTGGGTCACCAGAACGTCCACGTCCCCACAGCTGGGCTTGCCGCGGCGATAGGAGCCGCAGGCCACGCACACCAGCCCAGGATCCAGGGCCTGGGCCGCCTCCCGCACCTGCAGTGAGAGAGAGAGACACACGAGAAGAGTGAGGAGCTGGGATCTGTGGTGGGGCACCAGAGGCCAAGCTCCAAGCATGTGGTCAGTGCCCTGAGCGGGCACTGGGTCGGAGCAGCACCCAGCAGAGCAGCTCTCCCTGGGCTGGCAGGACCAGGCACTGGGGGCATCACCGAGCACAGAGGCAGGGAAGGTGAACCACGTCCCGCAACACGGCTGCCTCTGAGGTGAAGCCCATGCTGCCTGACGACTCAAACACCCAGCTGAGGGAGGCTGGTACAGAAGCTAGCATGGGTGCCCGGCGGTACCATGTCAGCCATGCCAAAGTCACATGCCAGCTCTTCTGATCAAGACAAGCCTGGGCTCAGGGGCTGGGGGCACCCGTTCAGAGCCCACAGCTCAGGGGCATGTGTGCGTCGATCTCAGCAGTTCCCCGTCGGTCTTCGGGATCACCCTTCGTTAGACAGTGATAAACCCACATTCCCTGTGGCTGAGGGACTGTGTAATACTGGCATCCACAGTGACAGGAGTGTGGGGACAGCAACGCATGTGTGCGTCGATCTCAGCAGTTCCCCGTCGGTCTTCGGGGTCACCCTTCGTTAGACAGTGATAAACCCACATTCCCTGTGGCTGAGGGACTGTGTAATGCTGGCATCCAGTGACAGCAACGAGACCCTCCAGGGGGGCCTTCTGGGGACCTACCCTCTGCTCTATCTCAGCCGCTTCTGCACGGGGCATGCGCTCCAGGAAGTCCTCGTAGTGCTTCAAGCCGACGGCCTGCTGGCTGGTGAGGGAGGCCTTGGTGCGGATCTCATCCAGCGTGCGGAAGCCCTGGTGGAGAGCATGGGGCGGCACTGAGAGCCCTCCCTCACTCCTGGACGCCCCAAGACGGGGATGGCAATGGACCCAATGGGTCATGTCCCCATCCAGGCAGGGGCTGGGCAACTCACAGGGGGAAGCCCCATCCCCACGCGGCCCGGAGACCATCTTGGCTCAGCTCACAGCACATTGATGCCTGAGCAGATGGACCCCTCTGACCTCCATGGTTTCCTGGCCGAGAGGCTCCCCCAGGCCGCAGCCTGGCTCCGGGCATTGCTGACTGGGACTTTGAAGGCAGCACATGAGATCCCAGCAGCCCTGTCCTGCACACGCAGATGATGCCCAGGGCAGGGGTTTCCCATGGCTGCCCCAGGGAACCTGCACTCCCCAGCCTCTCCAATACAACACCCCCGGCAGGGACATATTCCTCGTTGGGCACCGGAGGATCTGGGTCATGCCAGACACGGCCTGTTTCATACACTCACCCCCAAGCTCCTCTCCTGAAGCCAGGCCCCAGGGCTGGTCTGACCCAGCACAGCAGATCTTATGGTCTCCTAGTTCGCAGCATGCCCCAAAAGGGTGACAGCTGTGGTCTCTGGCAGAGCAGGAAGGGACTTTGCATATCCCAGGCCCCTCCCTGAGACCTGCTCCCTGCTTACACAACTGCAGGGAACCTGCTCGGGGACTGGCTCATCTCTGCCAGAGCAGGGCAGCCCAGGGAACAGAGGCAACTCACATCTAGGCTTCAAGCCATGCAGGGTTTCAAAGGTCAGAGACAAACCTTCCCCCCCGGGATCTGGCTGCACTCTGACTCCCTGCAGCTGGAGGCGATTGGCAGCAGTGGAGGAACACAGGCCGGTAAGATGTTTCCAAGAGAAAGCCAGGACTCAATAGCCTGGACGGGGCTGAGAGATCCGCAGCAGGGAGGGGTTGATTACCTGCTGGTACCACATCTGGGCGGTCTTGACACCTGCGCCCCAGATGTTGGAGAAGACCTCCAGCACAGGCACGCTCTCGCTGATGTGGTCCAGCTTCCGCAGGTGCCCGCTGGCCAGGATCTCCTGGATCTTCTCTGCCATCCGCTTCCCGATGCCAGGGATCTTGCAGGCTTCCTGGGCCAGAGCACAGAGGCATCAGCTGGCCGCAGGGGCTCCGGGACAGGAAAGCCCAGAGGACTGGTCACCGTGGGCCGGGTGAATGAGGAGCGACTAACGGCACAGCCCTGTGACACCAGTCTGATGCCACCGGCACCTGGGAACATAGCAGTTGCCCCAACAAACTGGGCTGTTGCTCCTTGTCTTGGAGGATGGCCGAGGGTCCAAGCCTGTAACCCACCCCCACAGGTGGAGCTGCTGCCTGCGGGGGCCTGATCCCAGCTCTCCCAGCAGGGCCCTGTCCCAGCCCAACCTGCTCGCAGAGGCTGGGACTGCGGGTTACCTCGTAGGACGTGACCGGCTTGTGGTAGCTCTTGAGGGCATTGATGGCTTTGGCATAGCCCAGGGCCCTCCACTTGTCCCCCTGGACGCTGTAGGCTTTCGCCAGCACCTCCAGCTTCTCTGTGATGCACTGGTTGTGATTCTCCTTCTTGGTGTGGGAGGACTGAGCACAGACCCACTTGCCGACGGGTGGGGGGGCTGCTGCAGAGCCTTCAGATGGGGTTGGGGGGTAATGCCCCAAAATCAGCGCCTCCAGGTCAGCTGGGGTGACACTGGGCTCCTCCCCGTCGCTTCCCTCATCCTCAGAGACCCTCTGCGGGGCACGGACAGAAAAAGCAGCAGTGAAACAGCAACGCCCTCCCTCGTGGCATCTCTTTGGAGCATGAGGGCATTGCTGGACTCCGCTGCGTGCAGTAAAGCTCTAACTGATGGGCTACAGAGAGATGTCGCAGTTATTCTGGGATAAACCATTTTATCCCAGGGCAAAGTGCAAAGATTCAGATGTCCACATCTATTGTCCTGGGATATAGCCTAAAAAAGGTTCACGGGGTCAGAAGTGCTAAAACTTTATCCCGGGATATTGTAAAGTGCGTCTCTACAGTTATCCCAGGACTGTATCATTGCTGCTTTTCTGCTACTGAGTCAATGTATTAAGCTGCTCGCTGAACCCTGACTGTGCACACACCAATCCCAGGATATCTTTCTTCCAGGACAAACACAGACATACCTTACCCAGGGATAAAGGCGTGTCTGTTATCAGAGGCCTGCAGCTTTCTGAACAGTTCACCTGTCACTAGGAAACTTGCTATCTCTTACCCGGGAAACTATTTTAGGATTTATCCTGAGACAATGGACATAGCCAGCTGCACGACTGGACTTTGTCCTGGGATAAAACAGTTTATCCTGGGATAAATGTGGTGTCTGTTTGCAATCTAAGAGAGGCAAAATAACAGCAGGTTCTGCCTGTCATGAAGCAAGATAACACAGCTGGAGAGGGGTATCCAACACACGCACATACTCAGAGATGTTCAATGACAGGGAAAACCCTGGGAAGAAAAGCAGGGACTAGCAAGCAACACCTAGGGCCAGGCTGAGGTTTTTTGTGGCACCAAAATGGCCCCTGTGATGGGGGCCAATGAGGGCAGACAACGCTGAGAAGCAGCTCTCGATCTTTCTGAGGGTCTGGGGTGATGCCTCAAGGCCAAGCCACCAACCGCCGGAGCGGATTCAGAGAAGGGAAAGGCCAGTAAGTATCGCCCTGCCATGAAGCTGCTCTGAGCAGGTGCCCTGGAGCGGCGCATGCAGGGAGCTGGTCTCAGGGAGGGGGCTGGGATATGGAAAGGAGCCTCCTCTGGCATGCAGGGAAACCCCAGCACTGAAGCAGATTAGTCTTGGCCAGGCCAAAGGGCAGGACTTCGCCGCACATGGGCGGGGTGGTCAGGGGGTTTCTCCACTGGGTGGGCAGGTAGGACGTCCGTGGGCTGGACCTGCTGACATCAGGGAAACCCTAGTCTCCCCCCAGCCCAGGGCTGCACTGGAAGCTGCGCCCTCAAGCCCGTGCTACGTCGCTGGCTGCACAGCCCACCCCACAGGCCCCGTGGGTGGACACTGACCTGAGCCGGAGGTCCTGCCTCCTGTGCTGGCAGCTGCTCCGAGGTGTCCGCCTGTGCTTCAGCCTCTGGTCCCAAGGCCTCGCTCCGTGCCTGGGGCTGGGCATCCCCATTGCCCAGGGGAGGCTTCTGGCATGTCTGCCTCTCCGGTGCATCCAGGGACCTGCCACCAACCACATGGAGCTGAGCAGAGCTGGGCATGTGAGGACTGGGCAAGAGGAGACCCAAAGCTTGACCACTGGCTGCCCTGCTGGCCTGTCCCCCCCACCGGATCCTCCTGCCCTGCTGTACCGACACACCTCCCTCCTGGGGTCTCCCCCACCTCTGGTCCACCGTAATAGTGAGGCAGTGGAACAGAGGTCCAGGGAAGGGGGGGGCGGGGGGCTCTCCATCACTGGAGGTGTTCAAGGAGAGGCTGGGCAGCCACTTGCAGGGAATGATCTAGGCACAGCGATGCCCGTGCTCTGCTGTGGGGGGTCCCAGGCTTCTGGGCTGTGCCGGTTGTCTCCCCCCCGTTCTGCTCCATGTGTTGGAGGTGCTGGTGCTGCTGCATCCCAGGCTGGGGTTGGGGCTGGGCTGTGCCAATGCTCCTGCTGGCACCGACCCCTGGCTGGAGGGTCTTGCCCCTGCGCTCAGGCTCAGCCTGACACTGCACTGGGGCAGGAAGGGATTTCCTTCCCATTCAGACTGGTGCAGACTGGGGAGGGTTTGCCTTCCTCTGCAGCAGGGGCACGGCCAAGGCCTGGGCTCTCTGCAGAGCCCTTGACCCCCCTGGCAGCAGCAGGATGTTGGTGGCTGCGGCCCCCCTGCTTTTCCGGGGGAGGGCCAATGTCTGGGGGCTATGCCGGGGTGACTGTGTTGCGCTACTCAGACGTCAGACTTGGGGTTTGTCTGGGCTGGTCCTACCTCAGGCAGGGGCTGCGGGG